GAAATCTATCAGTAAAATTACACGTTGTTTTTGTTGTGGGATTTACTTTGATGTACTGTAACTGAAAAAGATCTGGAAAACCTCATGCAAGAAGGGTTTCTAAGTCGCAGCTAAAGCTTCTATTCCAGCATAACAAGCTACTCCAAATGATTTCCAAATTCCGAGCTAGAAACTATTCCATAAACAAACTTTTTATCTGACATTCCCTCCACCCGCCCCCTCTATCTCAATTAGTGCAGTGCAAAGGAAAAAAAAAATCAAGGAGTTTACATATTATTTTCCAACATATCCCGTTACAATTTTGAATGTTTTGCGATGAACTAAAATATATATACAATTTTCTCGCCATCATAAAAAACATTTCCCCTTCTTATTCACAGATATATAGCGTGGCAATTGGCTGAATAATTAATTACAAACAAGAAGAATCTTTTGTAACAAGTTTCTTACAACAGTAAACACGAGAGAGAGAGAGAGATTTTCTGAGGAATGATTCATTTTTGCTGAGAGTGAGGAGGGGGAGCCATTCCCCGGTTACGGGCAGAGACTGTACAGTATCTATTACATGGTTTGGTAACAGGCAAAGATAACTATACATGCTACATGAGAGAACGAATAAGGCTCCAGTGATATGGGGTGCATGCTTTTTTATAGGGGTTCACTGTCCACAGACCCGCACAACATAACAAGGTTTTTTTAACAGAAATTTTAAACAGATTCAGCTAAGGCTTAAGAAATGTCTGAGGCATAAATGAACCATCTTTCCATATGAGGAGAGATTAATAAGATTGGGACTTTTCAGCTTGGAGAAGAGATGACTAAGGGGGGGTATGATAGAGGTCTATAAAATCATGGCTGGTGTGAAGAAAGTAAATAAGGGAGTGTTATTTACTCCTTCTCATAACACAAGAACTAGGGGTCACCAAACAAAATTAATAGGCAGCAGGTTTAAAACAAATAAAGGGAAGTATTTTTTCTCACAACGCAGAGTCAAACTGTGGAACTCTTTGCCAGGGGATGTTGTGAAGGCCAAGACTATAACAGGGTTCAAGAAAGAACTAGATAAGTTCATGGAGGATCGGTCCATCAATGGATACTAGCCAGGATGGGCAGGGATGGTGTCCCTAGCCTCTATTTACCAAAAGCTGGGAATGGGTGAGAGGGGATGGATCACTTGATGATTCCCTTTGGGGCACCTGGCACTGGCCACTGTCAGAAGACAGGATAGTGGGCAAGATGGACCTTTGGTCTGACCCAGTATGGCCATTCTTACGTTCTTATCTTGAATTTTCTTCTCTTTATCCATTTTTTGTTGGGTCTTCTGGACCCAAATTCTGCCCTCGGATGCTACCGAAGGTTGAATCAGGTCCTTTGGTCTACGTTTTCAAAAGTGACTAGTGATTTTTGGGTGCCTAACTTGCGACATCTTAAAGACTTTTTTTTCCCCACAGAGAGCAGATACTCCGCAGTTTGGGAAATCAGGCCCCTTGAAGTCATCTCAAGATGGGCAACCAAAATCACCAGTGAGCCTTGAGAAGCTTGGCCTGTAGGCTGGGATTCTCAAAGGAGCTTAATGGATGTGGGTGTCCAACTCCCAATTCCCTTTCAGTGGGAGCTAGGCCTGCAACTCCCCATATGGTTTGTGTACATGGGGACATTCAGCAAAATTAATCTGAATTAACTAAGGGTGTGAATTCACATTGGATTAGTTAAACTGCATTAAGCCCGGTGTGGACAATCATTTAGAATTAAAGTGTCCTTAGCTGAATTCAAACTTAATTTCCAAAGTGAAGTAAACTGATCTGAATTAAGGCCACTTTACTTCTGAATAAGAGCATCCACAAAAGGATTTAATGCAGTTTATCTAATCCACTTTAAAAATTAATTCAGATTAATTTTCCTGAGTGTCCCCAAGTACACAAACCCTCAGCCTCCTTTTAGCTTCCTTCTCCAAAGCTCGGCCTCATTTCCTTTCAATACTGGCAGGCTGAGATGACAAAAATCAAATGGTACAGAGGTCGTGGACAATCAAGAAGACTGAACTGAAATAGGTTAGCACCGGACAATAGCCTTTAACAAAACCACAAGACATCTGACTGCTCTGTTCTTTCCAGCACTCTGGAAGGAAACCAACCAATCTGCATTAGGCGAGGTATTTCTAGTAGGGATAAGGAGGTGCTGCTTCCGTTATACAAGGCACTGGTGAGACCTCATTTGGAGTACTGTGTGCAGTTCTGGTCTCCCATGTTTAAAAAGGATGAACTCAAACTGGAACGGGTACAGAGAAGGGCCACTAGGATGATCCGAGGAATGGAAAACCTGTCGTATGAAAGGAGACTCGAGGAGCTCGGTTTGTTTACCCTAACCAAAAGGAGGCTGAGGGGGGATATGATTGCTCTCTTTAAATATATCAGAGGGATAAATACCAGGGAGGGAGAGGAATTATTTCAGCTCAGTACTAATGTGGACACGAGAACAAATGGATATAAACTGGCCGTCGGGAAGTTTAGGCTTGAAATTAGATGACGGTTTCTAACCGTCAGAGGGGTGAAGTTCTGGAACAGCCTTCCAAGGGAAACAGTGGGGGCGAAAGACCTCTCTGGCTTTAAGATTAAGCTTGATAAGTTTATGGAGGGGATGGTTTGATGGGATAACGTGATTTTAGTCAATAGGTCAATAACGTGCCATCGCAGGTAATTAGTATCAATGGTCAATGCGGGTCTGGCTGGAGAATCTTGCCCACATGCTCGGGGTTCTGCTGATCGCCATATTTGGGGTCGGGAAGGAATTTTCCTCCAGGGTAGATTGGCAGAGGCCCTGGAGATTTTTCGCCTTCCTCCGCAGCATGGGGCAGGGGTCGCTTGCTGGAGGATTCTCTGTGACTTGAAGTCTTTAAATCATGATTTGGGGACTTCAACAGCTGAGTCAAGGGAGAGAATCATTCCAGGAGTGGGTGGGTCAGCTTTTGTGGCCTGCATCATGCGGGAGGTCAGACTAGATGATCATAATGGTCCCTTCTGACCTTAAAGTCTATGAGTCTATGAGAGCAAAATGGGTAAGAGGAACCGCCCCTGGGCTGTGTGCAAATTGCAATCCCCACCTGACCACAGGCATGTTTAGACACTGGCATTTGAGCAGCAGGCACCCAGTTTAATCAGTCATCGCTTAATATGTGCACAGTTAAACTAAAATATTTTCTAATCAATATAGCGCAACATGAATGTTTCACTGGCGGCTTTGGCACGAGGAAGAATGAGCAACCAGGCGGCTCAGACTGATCGAGACAGAACACAGGAAAACATAAAACCCCAACACCAACGTCAAAACAAGCAGTAAAATTATTCAGCTTATGCCTGGTCACTAAACAGCAATTTACCTTCAGAGGTCATTTGTTTTCCTTTTCACTCAGTGCACAGAATTCTCCTTTGGGCTTTAGTATCCCAGTCTGGCAGCAACAATCCTGCTATTGTTCCAGAGATTATACCTGGAGCATTTGCAGAATGGCTAGATATCGTTTCTTTTATTCGTCCATCGGAAGAGGTATGGCTGCAGTTCTCCTCTAAAGGCGAGCAGCCTTGATCACTTCCGTTGGTGTCCATTATGCCAGTACAAATCTAGAGTTCCTCTGGATTTACATCAGTGCAAATGAGAGCAGAATCTGGCCCAAAGCCCAGTAGCAAAGTCTCAAAGCTGTCGGGCTGCTGAAAAACGTGAGATGGGAGCAACGACCCAAAAGGGCACTGTCTACACTAGAAACTTAAGTTGACATATCTTAGGTCGACGTACAACTGCAGTGGTTCATGTCCACACTACTCTTCTTCTGTCGGTGGCGTGTGTCCTCACCAGGAGCACTTCCACCGACTTAAGAGGAGCAGTGGTGGGGTGAGTGGGGGGGCTGAAAGCCCGGGATCTCGGCTCCACACTGGGAGCCGTGAATTTGACAAGAATGACAGCTAACAGCCAATGTAAGTAACGCAGCGTCACCCCAAGTACACCGACATAAGCCCTCTGCCTCTCTGATGGAGGTGGAGTTATGATGTTAGAATAGCAGGGCACTTACATCGGCGGGAGCAAGGCTGTAGTGTGTGGACGTAAGCTGCCTTAGGTCGACCTAACTCTGTAGCGCAGACCAAGCCTCATTTAAAGCAACAGGAGGAGAATTTCTTGGCCTTGAAAGTGGGGGAAGGGGGAGTTGTTCCTTGTCGGGGATGCATCATGTTTGTTTTAAATAGTGCACTTTGAAAGGAAATGCTACCCTGGTGAGCAAAGGGCAGCACCTGGCAGAGGTCACTTGAAATTGATTCCACTGGACAATTCTGCCTATCCCGTAAAATGGACACAATTTGGAAAACAAAAGACCCAGGAGTACGTTATTCAGAGCAGTGCAATGATGAAAAAGACACAGTGGGAGGGCAACACAGAATTCTTCCTTATTGGCTCCAGAGGGGGCGGGGGGGGGGGGAGGGGGAGAGAACAGGTGGGAAGACTTGGGGCGTAACCTCATGGTGCTGGTGGATGGGGCAAAGAGACTCTTTTACAACATATTTTTGGATAATGAGGGATTCAGCCTGCGGTCCTTACTCAGGTGAGTAAGCCCCATTGGAGGTCGATGAGGCAGATGTGTATAATGGCTACAGGAACAGGCCATTAGTCTGGCAGGGGCTTCTGCACTCTTGTTAAGCACAGGACAGGTGCGCTGTGAATGGTGCACACGCTGGAGCAGACGATGCACATCTAGAGCTATTACCGTATGCGCCACCCAGCACATCAATGGCTTCCAAACACTCTTCCCAGGGAGGGCACATTCTGCAGCCCCCGAACACCGCCAGACATCCTGATACAGGTGGGACCATCCCGGCAAAGGGCTGTCCCTTCTGCCCTGGGTGAATCTAGTGGGACCAAAGTTAGTCCAAGAGAACGGACCCACGTTGCAAAACTGGAACTCTCTCATGATGTCTGGGTGTGGCTGTATCCAGAGTTTGACTTCACACCCATCTCTCTCTCTCTCTTTCAAAAACTCATTCCTAGTTTACAATGGGTATCTTACAGAGCTCATGGAGAGAGGCCTCCTCACCATGCCTCTGCTCTGCTCCCCAAATCACCTCAGGAGGGCAGCAGAGTTGGGCTCTGCCGTCGATCACGCCGACTTGACAAGAAAAATAATTATCCAGAGGGGTCCATTCAAGCAGCAGGGGGAGAGAGCAGGGTGGGGTGAGGTCGCCTCTTCTGTTACTGTGGGGCTGGCTTGCTCCTTCTCAGTAGAAATCTGAAACGCTCCCTCCACCTTCAGTCAGAGTGAGACATTGGCCCCAGCCTCCCATGAGCCCCAGGGTGGCTTTTGAAACACCCTCCGTGAAATGGGTTTGGGTGAAGTGTCTGAGCAGAGCTGTGCTGAGTTGTCCTGCTCAGGCAAGGCTGTTGAGCATGATCTTCCCAGGACCCTCCTGCTGCTGTTACAGACAAGTATTACCTTATAGACACTCTCTCTTACACACAAGTAACACAACCCAGGACTGAGAGCCAGTGGCACCCCCTGACGCGCGCACACACTTTACAGAGGATTGATTGTAAAACAATTCACAATAGACTTGTTGTTAATACTGGAGGATTTCTGATTGTGTTTCACTCAGAGCCCTGGGCGTTGGGACCACTGTGCACACTCTGCGGTGGCTTTTACTGGGCGCTCGGTGATGCCTGCCAGAGATCCGGTCCTCGTTACACTCCCTCCTCCTCCACGTAGGTCGAAGGAAACCAACCAATCTGCAGCAGAAAAGGAAAGATGAGCAGGACCCCTTGGGCATGGAGATGCAAAGAGACCCACCCAAACTGAGCAGAGAGACCTTTTCCTCGTAGAACGAGCTCCATCATCCCACCATTTATGTTGCCCCAGAAGTCTGGTCCTGTATCCATAGAGCGGACACATATACAATATCTTGCTCCCAGCTATGGGGGACTGAGACTCTAGTCTGGGTGGAAGAGCACTTGGTTCTCCAGCATGGTCCAATAATGAGAACATGGGACAGAGTCAGACTAGGTTCTAGTCCTGACAATGCTACTGATTCTGTCTGCACGACCTGGGACAAGTCATTTATCCACTGTGCCTCAGTCTTCCCCATTACTAACAAAGGAATAACAAACCTCCCCCACAGAGGGCTGCTCTGTGGATTAACTCAATAGTGTCTACAAAGTCTGATGGGAGGCACCGTAGAAAGACACTGCCTTATTGTGATCAGCATCATTAGACTGTGGAGTAGTCTCCCTGAGGCACCATCGCTTGTAGCCAGTACAATTGCTAATGTCTATGATTCTGAGCCATGGACTTTCAGAGCCATTCCTGTGTCCGTTCCCAGCATAAAGCCATAAGGTGGATCAGATCCAGATGCCGGCTGTGCCTGTGAGACTGGCCCTGGTGCCGTTCCCGGTCTCTGTGCTGCTCTACATTTAAAGGTCACTGCCAGCTGCTGTGCTTTTGAACGGAATAATTTTACAGCATTGGCCAAGGACTACCTCCAGCAGGAGGAGGAATGGGATCCTAGTACATTGCATGGTAAAGGGAAGCAAGCCAGAGAAGTCCATTGCTTTCCCAGGCAGGAATCCAACTGCAGAGCTGCAACCCTGGTTTCTTGAAGTCTTTTCCATGTGTCCAACCTTTAGCTGGTGCACACAATTCTCTCTTACTAAAGGCATGTAGAGTACATATCCTAGCACAGGTATAAATAGCGGAGTAGACGGTGAGGCCAGACACGCCAGAACCTTAGGGTACATACCCTACCCAGCTCTCTACATGCCCAAGCCACGCCTCCCATGGTCTACACTGCTGTTTTTACAAGGGTGCTGTCCCACTCCCTCCCCAAGGCCGGAGCCTTTCCTCACCACTTGGAAAGGCTCCAGCAGTGGGGAAAGGCTCTGGCAGGGGTAGGCAGCGGGGAAAGGCAGTGATCCAGCAGCTCCAGCAGTGATGACTCCCCCCGGCCAGAGCCTTTTGCTGTCACACGTAGCTACACACCGCAGTGTGGACGCAGCCTGCTTTTCACGGCAGCACGTACCTGTACATACAAGACATGCTGCCGACAGCGCAGACAAGGCCTAAGTTGAAACTAGGGTTCACCATAAGGCAGTGTGGTCTGGAGGAACAAGCACAAAATTGGGAGTCGGGAAGTCCTGGGTTCTAATCTCACTGCTGTCACCTATTCATTTCAACACCTTTGTCAAGTCACTTTCCCTGTCTCGGTTTTCCCCATCTGTAAAATGGGGCTAATTCTTACTCTTCCACCTCCTGCGGATTAATTGGTAGAGCTGGCTGAAAAACAGGGAAAAGGCAATGCTTCCTTCTCCCTTTTCTTTTTTTTAAATAAAATTAGATTGAAATTTGGAAAATTCTGACCCGCTCTCTTAGCGAGTCCACATCTGAACACACCTACTGTTCTAAAAAGGCAAAGTGGTGTTATTTAAATATAAAAGAACCCTCATCTCTCCATCACTTACTCTTCCATTTGTTTCTCCCTTCCACCATCCCTGGTCCCCGCCTATCCTGCTGTAGATTTTCACCACGTCGCCCTCTCGCAAAGAGAGCTCTCGCATGTCCCGTGCGGCGAAGTTGTAGCGTGCCACCGCCGTCCCTATGGCCGGAGGCGTGACCACTGCGGGTGGACAAGGAAAGGGAATTAGAGGCCTGCGTTGTCGTGTGAGATCATCTGAATCCTGGGAAAAGCTAGACTGTGTTCAACCTGGGTTTTTACCAGAGTCCCCATTTCCATTGCAAGTTCAGGGCAGAAAACAGCTCTGTGGACTAAGACAGTCAATTAGATATTGAGGTGGCTCTATTTTAATCCTTCAGTCATGTGTGAATTGGAATCGCATGGTTATATCAGATTTCCAAGGCTGGGTTTTCCATTATCAACATCTCCTTGGTCTCATAATGGGTCTCAATCAGTTGCATCATCCCTCTAGTCACTGGATATAAAACTTTGAAGGACACCCAGGAAAGGGACTGTCGTGTGTGTGTGTGTGTGTCTCTCTCTCTCTCTCATTGTTGGGTGTTGCTACAGGTGATTGGGTCAAGGGGTATCTCTATGGGAAGTGGGATAAAAGCAAAGGTTTTATAAAAATAAAGGGAACAAGAAAAATCTATTCCAAAGTTATCTCCATCACTTCCAGTTGTTCCTTTACTGCTCTGACACCTAATGGGCCACCTCATCGAAGGGAGATTCCACAAAGCAATTTATATTTAAACTACCTCTTTATTAGCTGTTGGGATTAGCCACAATGGCAGATTCTCTCAATGGCACGGAGATAAGGAACCTGTAAATTGCAATACAAGGACTGACCACCTAGGGTGGTGTCCTCTCTGACAGTGGCCATTGGCCAAAATAGGTGCTTTGGTGAAAAGGCCCCTAATTGGGGACACAGTTTTTCAACAATATCCTAGCAATGGGGAATTTCTTACTGATCCTAGCTCGTAATCAGTTTGTAGACCTCACACTTCCGAGCACAACGTCAGCAGAACTGCAGATGCTATTCTTATTAACAGACATCTCTAATCCTTTTTTAGAAACTGTACTAATGTATTTAGTTCAGAAGGACCAGACACTGGTCATCAGTTTACAGCATGCAAGTGGCATTCCATTATTAAATATCTTCCCCGGGATTAGGAATTGAACAGAACCAGACTGTAGCAAATGGTGCAGATCTCAGTTGCTTCAGGCCAGGGAAGAAGGGGGTTATCGCCTTTAGCACAGAGGTTGCAAAGGCGATATGGGAAATGTACCACCTGCATTCTCTGCAATATTGTCGTGCAGGTTATACAGGCAGAGGGAGTCAGGGGGTTTAAATGATGGGAAGGGACATGGTTATAGCAGTAATTATGCTCTCAGCGTCACAGGCAAACAAGGGGGTAAAAAGGTTTTTTTTTTAAGTTTACAAAAATTTTTTTTTTTTTTTTACTGCTGTTCGTTTCTATGAAACTGTCCTTTAGTCTTAAGGACTTGTCAGTTACAAAACTGTTTACAATTTTAAATGTTTTGCAAACCGAGGTTGAACTGGGTTTGGAGGAGGAAGCTTTGCCCAGGTTTTCAGCACTCAGGACGTAAGGAGATGCGGATGGCAACAGACAATTAACACACAGAAAATACATGTCCTGCAGGGCTCAGATGGCCTAGTAAGGGTGCCAGGCTGGAGAACACAGTGTGAACGATGAAAGCTTTGAACTCTTTCACCAGAAGCGTGCTCAGAGCTGATTTTTTGTCTCAATCTCATTCACTTGCAGGATTCAGATTTCACAGAAAAGCTCTGAGGGGAAGGAATCCGTCTTTTAAAAGTATGTAACCAAGCATGGCAGGAATAAGACGTGATTTTCACTGTCCAAGCTGCTGAAAATGCTAAAAGTTAAAAGGCATAAACAGCGAGAAGCGATTGGATTCTAAACACCTTTTCATTTCGGATCATTTAAGGTGTTGCTGGTACCACAGGAGAAGGAGGATGCTTGTCTGATGCACGTTGGAGTTGAATATTGCTCCAACATTTTATAGGGGATTCCATCACCTTTTGAAATCGTGGGCTCCTCCCAGCTGCCCTAATTATGACGCTACTGAGCACACTCAGACATCAGAGCTCAAAAACTACTGGAAATGAACGTTCTATTATTGTAGCAAGGAGAAAACAGTCTTTAAAATGGTGTGATGCCAATGTTCCGATCTACAAGAGACACAGGAAAAACGGGTCAAGCTTGAAGTATATCGTGAGATCCCAATCCACTAGATTTAGATTTCTTTTTTCTCCCCCCACCCCTTTTCTCCATATTTAATTCACTGTGTTTTCTTATTTGGTTTCTTGCATTTTTCTGGTGACCAGATTCTGCCCCCAGCTGACACCCTCAAGGAGGGGCAACACCTTAGCTGAACTTTTTATATAGCTGGGGAGGGATGGCAGGGGATAGGTGGAGGGTCTCACTGCGGATGGCTTTCAAGCTGATACCGTTTGTGTCCTGTCAGAAAGCAGGCAGAGGCCTGCTGCCCTAGGGATGGCCAGTAGATGGCGCTTTCTTCTCAAGAACAGAAGGAGTTATATACCTGACCAGAAAGGAGTGGAGGAATTCTGAGAAGAAAAGTTGAGGCCCTGAGGACTGAGAAAAGAAAAGTTGTAGGAAGCGCAGGAAGCTGCAAAGAGGTTAGAAACAGAGGCAGAAGAACAAGAATTAAAAAGGAAAATTAAAAATCCACAGTGCAGTAGAAGCTTGCAAAAAAGAAAAACACTAAGCATGCAGCAATTCTTCTTCGGGAGCCTCAGCTGTGGCTCTGGGAGGACTTAGGGTACATCGGCACAGTCAAAATACAATGGGCCAGATTCTCCTCCTGCTGCTTACACTGGTGTAAATCAGGAGTGAGTCCATTGCAGTCAGTGGGCCCAATTCTCTTGCCTTCGCTGGGAGCAAGAGGAGTAAATTGGGAGCAACTTGCCATTGAAGAAAAATGGACAGAGCCAGTTGAACATTTTCAGTTGAAAAAATATTTTTGGGGCTGGAAAATGCCTTTTTAACCCAAATGAAAATGTTCACGAACAAAATTCATTGTCGGTTGAAATGTTTTGGTTTTCAAAGGAAAAAATGTTAAACAAAAAAAAAATGTTAGTTTTGGTGGGTAAAAATATCCACTCTTTCCCTCTTTTTTCAGTGGGGAGAAAAAAAGTAAAAAAGAGAAAAATGGGTTTTTAATCACCAAAATGTAACTTTTAAAAAAAACATCTTGGAAAAAATTGAGAATTTCTTTTCCAAGTTTTCAAAAAATGAAATATTTCACAGGAATTTTCTATGGTAATGTAAAGGTTCATTTGTTGAGGAATTTTTCACACAATATGCTTACCATGTTTTTGACTAGAGCTAAAAAATCATAGGTGTATAAACCGGCATAAGTGACATCAGAATCGGGGCCAGTAAAACTGACATATGGACGCTTGTACAGATAGATAAGCGACAATCTTGTGAGTCTCAGAGGTGAAACAAGTTCTTCTCTTCATGCCGATTGGCTTCAGTCCTTTTCCATTTATTTATTTATGGCAAAGGACCTGAAATTTCTCGCGCTGAAGATGTTGACCTCAGAGATTTTTTGACACGGGATAATTACACTCATTATAGCAATATGGGCCCGATCCTGCCACATGCCAAGCACTCGCCACTCCTCACCTCAGCTTACGCGTGCTTTGTGTCTTGCAAAATTGTGGCCAGATCATTATCCTAAAGGGTTTGGAAAAGTGGTGGAGGGATGACGCCTCCCCCCAAAAGAGAGTCACAGACAGTAAGGGAATGATGTTTGAAACAAGAAATCAAAAGTAGTTAAAGACCAAAGAGAAACCCCCTAGCTGGGCTTTCCTAGGAGACTGGCCTTCTAAGGGTACGTCTATACTACCCGCCAGTGTTCGATGTATCGGGGATTGATTTATCGCGTCTCGTCTGGACGCGAAAAATCGATCCGCTAATCGACGCCCGTACTCCACTTCGGCAGGAGGAGTAAGCGGCGTCGACGGGGGAGCCGCGGCAGTCGACTTGCCGCCGTGAGGACGGCCAGGTAAGTCGAACTAAGATACTTCGACTTCAGCTACGCGAACCCCCCTGCTAGTGTAGCCCAGGCCTTAAAGGCAAACTCCCCACAAATGCCTCCCCTGCAACCAATCCAAGAGCCCTTCCTCTCAGCATCCAGGGAGGGGGAGAATGGAGACACTGAGCTTGCACTCATGTGCTTGACAAGGAGCCTGACTAGTTCAGACTCACTCTCAGGATCATGGGTTCAAGTCCCGTACTGGGCACATTTCTTTCCAGAGGTCAGGCTAAATGATCTGACAGTCCCTTCTGGCCTTCAAGCCTCTGAACCCCCTTTGTTCGCTGGAGACCAGCTAGAGCTCCTACATCTATCACACAGGTATTTCTTAAAAGGGGAACCAGAGGGGTGGCTGTCCATGAACTATTGTAGATGCAAGCCACTGTCCTAGGCACGCTGGGTTTTACCTGGGGAGCGAGTGAAGGTTCTGGAGGTAGAACGTTCTCGGGATTTGTATGGATATTTTAACGTTGTATCCAGCTGTTTAAAGCTCTCCTTCAGCGAGTGGGTCTGGTAGTATTCGACCAATTCCTAGAGAGAACACATTGAGTACATGTGATCACCGATGGGGCTCAGCACAGCTCCGGAAAAGCAAGTCACGCTAGGGTGACCAGATGTCCCGATTTTAGGGTCTTTTTCTTATATAGGCTCCTATTACCCCCGACCCCCTGTCCCGATTTTTCACACTTGCTGTCTGGTCACCCTAAGTCACACGCACAGTGAGAAAAGCAGATTCAAAAACGTACCAAAAGGCTTTCAAATTTTTTGGCTTCTGTGATGTGAATCCAGTTGTCTTTCTCCACCACCTTAATGTGCTTGACTTCCTCGTTAAACCTGTGACAACAATCGCAGCAGGCACTTCAGAAACACCCTGATCCTTACGCTTCAGCTTCTGTCCCGCCGTGTATTAGCATGTAGTACTCTGCCTTCTACCAATGCTTTATGACCACCAGCCACTTGGCTCAACCCCCTGGCAGGTGCATCAGCCTTATCCCCTTCCCAGATGGGGAATCGAAAGCACAGAGGTTAAGTGACCAAGGGAGTCGGTGTCGGAGCTGGGAACAGAACTCAGCAGAAGGGCTGGGTGCAGCGTTTAGGACGAACAATTTATTTGCCAAAAAGTGCAGTGTTGGGTAACCCAGAACGATTCATGAATTTGCCAAACAGTTTCAGCCCCAGCAAAATTTTCCAGCGTCATTCACAAAACGGCCAGAGGAGGTGGAAATTGTGGTAGTTCTGCCTCCCTTATAATTTTTAGCCCAGTGGTTAGAGCATTCACCTGGCATGTGGGCGACCCAGGTTCAATTCTCCCCTCTGTCTGATGTGGAGCAGGGATTTGAAATTGGGTGTCGTTCACTGCAGGAGCTGCTCTAACCAATGGGCTATGGGATATTCTAGTGCCAGTCTTTCAGTCTCTCCTGTTGAAGCTGGTCCATTGTGTATAAATAATTAAATGAGAGAGAGCATGTAATGCCCTGGTGCCTTACCAACCATTCTGAATGCTCACAATATGCCAGATTAACCAGATGGCTACATAGCAGCATGCTAGAACCATCAATGGTGCCTTTACTTTAAAGGCCAATACTTTAATAAGCCGGAAATCCTCATGTTTAAACAGTCCAGTACCAATCTCTAACCAGCACTTCACCTGTGTGTGCTCTTTTACTTCACAGTAGTTCCTTACGAGGAATCTCTATGAAGCCAAAGCCAGCCAGAACTAGACTATCTCACCCTACAAATGGGCACCAGTACTAACGAGTCTTAAAAAATATGACTCCAAGTCAGGTAGATCAGTGGAACTACACTGCACTTCAAATCCGAAAGGGAAAACGGAGCATCTTCTGTAGACAGCTTACCTGATGTCTAAGGTGATCAGGCGGTCATTAAAATCACAGGCTTTCCTCAGGTGCAGAACCAGAGAAGAGCAAAGCTTATCAGTCCAACGTGGTCAATTTCACACCCAGGTGACACCAGCTCAACGCCTCGCGCCGGTTACTTTACCACCTTGTCCGAGCTCCGTTAACATAAGCACCCGTTGCTATACTCACTTAATACTGATGGCAAAGCGCTCGGCCTCTGCTGGTCTCTCTCGAATCAGGTACGTCCCGCTGACGTGCGACTTCAGCAGGTTGTCTGTCTGTTGCCTCTCCATGTTCCCTGCAAACCTAAAGGAACGCTCCCCGTTAGGTGCTGAGATCACAGAGCGGCCAGGTACTGACTGTAGGTTTGGCTGACAAGGCTCTGTCTGGTAACACAGGATTTCTACTGTGTTTTGAATTGGGCCGGGGTCAAAAAGTCTACAATCATCCCTCCTGAATGGTGCGGCTCCCTAACTGGCAGGTAACAGGGACCAATCAATTACCTTTCCTGGCTTTTGCATGAGCCCACAAGCCATTCATTACACCATGAGTTGTTTTTTGTTTTTGTTTTTTTAAATAAGCTCATGCAGACTTTACAGGCACTGGTTCTCTCTCGATCTTCCCCACAGAACATCCTGGATGGCAACACGCTCCAAAGACGAGCAGCCTGCTTGCTGACACCAGGCACAGAAATACCGTATCACCCTGACACGGCACAGAACCAGAAGTCCTAGCAGCAGGCCTTCTACAAGACTACTACAATCTGGTCCGATCCTGGGGGCACTTGCTGCAAAGTGTCAAGTGACCTGAATTCCCACCACAGTCACTCGGAGCCCAGGGTCCTCAGCACTTGGCAAGGGTGGGAGCAGAGCTGGGCCAATGGGGAGAGCTTTTGAATCCTCAGCCTCCAAGTGTCTTCTTAAAAGGAAACCAATGACTATCAATGCAGTTCATGTCAAACTCCTGCTTCCAGGAGTTAGAGCTGGCCATCTTCTAGGTCTGAGCCTCCTCGGGGCAGGGATTCTGGGGGGAGATTTGCAAAGCTACAAAGGCCAGTTTGATACCCACCTTTCAATGGGAGTTTGGCACCGAACTATCCTTTGACAATCTCTGTTAGCTGTACAGCGGTAAGGACACTGACTGCAGTCAAGTAGGACAAAAGATACTATCCTGGATGGGTGTGGAGTTCACAGCATGAGTACTCATGAGGGGACTTCCTTGATCTGCCAGGTTATCCAGGAATGTCGGTCATTTTAATTTACGGGGGGGGGGGAGGTTATATTAATATTTAAAAATATGTTTTAACAAAAAAATCCATTTTTGAAGGGCAGGAGAGGGATGGGGGATTAAGAGAGAAAGGGGATCTGATCAAACTCTTTATAAGTAGGCAAAACAGTGACCAGAAATATTTAAACAGCAAGTAACTGCTTTGCAAGTTAAGAGAAAAGATGTAATGGTGCAGAGTGCAGTCCCTTCCCTTCTTTGAAGTCTTTTGTTTTTATACTGTTCCTAGAAAGCCACCTGGACTGGGAATGAGTCCCAAGGTGTATAGGTTTCAATGACAAACTTCTTGGGGTTAAGTTAGACTCATGAAAGTAAAGCCCTGATGCCAATGGGCAGAACTAGAGGGAAGGGCAAGTGAAGAGCAAGCGTCTCCTGCAAAGATCTGCCAATGCCCTACACTAACATCCAACACCCTTCTCCTGAGCAGGGACCTGCCAACCCGGCCAAATCCGCAGCAGGCAAAGTAGCAAGAGCTCAACAAATGCATTTCCCATCTGTGCTCTGATCCAAAGGCCACTGCAGTCCATGTAAAAGGAGTCCCATTGATTTCAGCTGGCATTGGATCAGGCTCTGAAGTCGGCATTCAAACTCAAGTCTTCGGAAGTGAAATGCTAATGCACCCACTGACTATGCCATTTTAGCCCTATTTGCCTGAAAGTCTCACAGCTCCTGTACATTGACAGTGGATGGGGGGGTCGGGGGAGGATGAGGGGAGCTTCCAAAGTGCATTCATAATTTATCTCATAGCAGCTTTGTGACAAAGTAATGGAATGAAAGGGTAAAGCCAATATATCTTTATGTCGGTAGTAAAGCATTTCTATCAGAATGTCTCATTTAACGACCGACTCACCAAGGGTACGCCGTGTAGTCGATTTCTCTCGAAGGAGGCCGGCCGCTGGGAGGCTAGAGCAAAGAGAACACCGCTTATTACTGTGGAGCGCAGATCCTAATTAGATTATAGATCATCTCGGATACACTCCTCTGTACGGGAGCGTTTTTATGTGCCAAGCATTTTATGAGTTATTGGCCTTGGAGTCAGAAGAAGAAGGTTATAATCAACGGCTTCTCTCGTTGGCGCGCACACACAAACCAGCTGTGCCAAGTGTATTGGGTATTTTGATTTATCGGACCCGTTTGTGGTCCTACGTGTGGGTACATGCTGCAGTGAAAAGCAGGCTGCATTCACACTGTGGTGGGGTGCTATACGAGACAGAGAAAGTCTCTTGGGGGGGGGGGAAGATAGGTTTCAGCAGGGGAACACTGCACTGCTTGGGCTGGTAGAGACCCTGCAGGGTTCCCTCCCTAGGCAGGGGCTTGCCGTCCACACTGCTATTTATACCTGTGCTAGGGGGGCATGTAATTCACGCCCCCGGAAGTGTAGACATCGTCTAAAAGTAATTCAAAGCTTTTAAAACTTGTTAACAACCAATCACCACTTCGCTTCTCTCAAGTGCAATCTCAAAGCACCCGACAGTGCTGGGTCAGCATTATCGCCAAGCTGCAGATGGAGAAATCGGGGCCCACAGAGGTAAGCAAACTTGCCCAAGGTCACGCAGCAAGCTAGGGGTGATGCTAAGAAGAGAACCCAGGTCTTCTACACTCCCAGGGTAGTGCAGTGCCCTATCCACTGAACCACACTGCCTTGCCCACTGGCTGAAAACATCTTTCCCTCCACATCCTCAACCCCTGTTTTTATTTCTGTTAACGTTTTGGGACAATCTTTTTCTTAGTCCAAGCACAAAGGTAAGGTGGAGGGGGGCATATGAGTCACTGGAAGTTATCCCCGACCAACGCTGGCCCCATGGCAGCACGGCTTGTGGTCTAAAGATTATACAAATAGCCCCACAAGCCAGCAGGTCAGGGGGTTGGCATCTGGGTCAGACCACGGCCAAGCACATCACCCAAGCAGACAAAAGGCTATTGCCAGGGTTTAAATGGGGAAGTGAGAGGAGCATTTGCATGGGTTACATGTAAAGCCTGAATAGGAAGAATGCATTTACTGCAGTTCTAAAGATACGTTAGTAAAGTAATATGGTATACGGGGCTTGGGCATACTCCCCTAAAATGTGCCAGCATGGGTGCAGAGAATGAGCACGGCTGAGTTGGGAGGTGGGGTTTGTGAATGAAGACCCCATATTTGGAAAGAAGCCCAGGTTGGAAAATTAGTCCCTGACTTCTGGCTGTCACACATCCTTGGGCTAAAGCACTTGTTAAAATGCAGTTTAACGGAATGAAGAAGTTAAAGGTGCAAGGGCAAGGAGCCGGGGAATTGCAATAGGAGTTTGGGAAGAGTGTGCTAAGGGAGAAGCGAAGTGCATGTTACACTCAGGACAGCGCACAATATGCACGGGACATCTGCAATGGCTGTGCAGCGTGAGTAGAGAATTCACTTACTCGGGAGACTCATTTACTCCAAGGGCCCCAAAGCCCACAGGAGTTAATGGAAAGATCAAGCCCCTAAACCCAGTATGCGTCAAATTTAGGGTTTAGGGCTGGACTGAAGAATACCAGGCTCCCCTTATTGGGTAAGTGCTAATGATCTACACGCCTCCAGTCCTTTCATAACGGCTAGCAAATGGCTCACAATGCACTGGCTCCGTTTCGGTTAATTGGCAGCAAATGGAAAATTAAATTAATAGATGGGACTTCACTTGGTTACACATTAACACAACCGCCCAACACATTAGAAGTCTTCAAGCCTGGGCCACTATTAAGGTACAAAGCACCATCAAAGGTCATTCTTCTAGCCTGATAAATAAGCATGGCTGTGTCCCTTTAAGTGAAATAATTTGCAGACTCCATCGAGTGTCCCTGACTGACCTTGAGCCTCGTTCAGAAATCTCCCCCAGCACATTCTTCAGTCCTCCGTGACTGAGCCAGGCCTGCAGGCAAAACTCACACTTCAGGAGGTGCTATCGTCTCTCCTAGGCATAGCTGGAGGTCCCAGGCAAAGCAGCGTGTGAAGTTACGCTCTGCAGAAAGGCATCCATCCAAGCCGGCACCATGTGATGAACTTGCCCATTTTGAGCATAAATATTCACCCATCTCAGACAAAATCCCGACAGCAAGGAAGACAGCTCCCAATTGCGACTTACACCAGTTACATCCGGAGTGACTCCAATAAGCAGAGATACTCCAGCTGCATGCCGGTGTACAGTCCACGATTTCAGTTGTCTTGCTTTAGGAGATGGGCCCCAAGCCAACCCCCCCAAACCTGAGCATGCCCAAGCTTGGGGGTGTTGGGCTCCGGTCTGTTTTTATGCACTTACCCTAGCGTCCACAGGACAGGGCTTCACCGATGAACTGGGAAAATAACCAGACTTCTTTGTCTGTATTAACCTCCCCTGTAAATAAAGATTAACATCAGCACTGTGCCAAAGAAATTCGATTCTTTGCTCCAGTTTCAGAGAACTTTGTATGTTATGTCTTCCTGACACAAGCTGAAAATATGCCTCAGAGAATTTATCTGGATGATGGCTGGCAAACTCCAGTGAATAAAAGTGCAAAGGGGGAAATAAATAAATAAGAACTTTATGACTAGCTGGTAGCCTCTGTGTAAGGACTTCTGAACATTTCCAAAGAACAACTTCACTCACTTCCCACCACTGCGAATCTGGGTCCCCTCTTAGCAGTTCTATTATGTCCCCAGTCTGAAACGTTAACACCGGCTTTCCTGGGTGAGCTGGGTTGCCATGGTAATTCTGAACGGCCACCATTTTAGGACCTAGAAAGAGAAAGGAAACAAAACCTATTGTTACGAGAAGACCATCTTGTGAGCCACTAACCCAGAGAATATTAGCGGTCAGGATTTGCCGGCGTAGCTCATTCATGCTTATGGCATGGCGCCTTGATTTGCTCAAGCTACATGGCTAACATGAGAGAGTCTGGCAAGCTAAAACATTGGGGGCAGATAACAATGAGCCCACCTGAACCCCAGCTGCAAAGATGGCACCTGCCTTGGAACTGTGAAATCTCAGGCAGGCTTTAATTGGGCAACAACAAGCCATGCGCGAGTCATCACAGGCTGAGTGACACAGACTGGGATTTCTGAGGGGACGACGAGTTAGGCGCCCAACTCCCATTGACTGTTGATGGGACCTGGGACTGACATTCTGTGCTGTGAATGATCTTGTGTTAAAGATGCCTCCCCTGCCACACTCAACTGACAATATTTATCTTAGCCCCCTTCTTTTCAGCTGCTTTTACCTCACCCCCACCCCGCAGCTAATGGGAGCAACATGCTCATGCTCAAAATGTTCATGTCACCAGCTTGGATTAGGAGGACTTTTCCCCCAGGACGGGCTTTCCTGTAAGTGAAACAGGCACAAAAGGGAGCTGGGTCTTTTCGTGCAAGGTGGGGCATTCAGGACTATCCCAGGGCCCTGGTCTGCATTAATCTTGAACAAGGGAAAATGTAACAGGGACCAGAGTGAATGGCGACGCTGACAGAAGAGAACTCTAGGAGCTACAGAGTGAGTTACCACCACCGCAATACAACCACATTTATACAGCCCTGACTGCCAGAGTATCTGAGCACCTCCCAATGTTTAATGTATTTATCTTCACAATCCCGGGGAGACTGGGCAGTGCTGTTGTCCCCATGATACACATAGGGACTGAGAGGCGGCTAAGTGACCGGCCCAAGGCCACGCAGGAAGTCTGTGGTGGAGCAGTGACTTGAGCCTGGGTCTCCCAAGTCCTAAGCTAGTGCTCAAACCATTGGACCATCCTCCTCAATCTCAGCCGTAACTGTGAGGGGATGTGCCTGTGAGCAGAATGAGGGTTATCCCAGTCTCCTGGCTTCTTAAGGCTTGTCTACATACGAAAGTTTTGCTGATTTAAATATGGCTATGCCCAGACTTAAAATGCTACAGTGGTGTTTCAGTGTAGAGTAGACACTTACTACAGCAACGGGAGGGGATCTCCCATCACTGTAGTCATTCCAACTCCCTGAGAAGCAGTAGCTAGGCTAACGGAAGAATTCTTCCCATCGACCTCGTGCTGTCTACAACGGAGGTAGGTTGGCTTAACTACATCTCTCAGGGATGTGGATTTTTCACACCCCGAGAGATGTAGCTCTGCCGATGTAACTACATTGGTACTGTTAAAGCAGCAAAAAAACAAAAAAAACCCAACCACCACCCGCCCCCCTCAGTGTGGATGCAGTTATACTGGTAGAAGAGTGCTTAAACTGGTATAAGGCACCTTCATACTAGTATAAGTGTAGGGTTTTAGTGGCATAACTATGTTGGCAAAAAATCACCCCCCCCAACCGACATAGTTGTACCAGTATAACTTAAGAGTAGACCAGGCTTTAGGTGCAAACACTGTATGAGAGCCGCTTCCAAAATTTGCCATCATCAACCTCTTTGAACCAGATCCCAATGCTGCCTCCCCTACGTTACCCATTTACAAAACACCAACACCACCCTTACCAGGTCCTGTATTTAATGAGTCCTGCAAAGAGAGAGAAAAATAGTTTATGTTCAATAAAACTTATTGCAACTGAATGTATTTAAAGATAAAATAAGATCCCCTTAAGTACCATAGTAACCTCTGCTCTTGCCCTGATCACCGCAAAGCTCCCTGTGCAGATTCAATTTTTTCCTAAGGCAAGGGGCATATCATGCTGTATCTACCCATAATTCTTCACTTTAGGGACAGGAAGGTTTCCTTTCTCTGTAAGAGGAACCATCGCAATTTAGCAGGGGAAATACTGAGGTGAAAATTTATCCTTCTGCCCACGTTCTCCATCTACGATAGTTCAGAATGCAGAGTCATTGCAGCATTGTGAGTCAGCACATCTGACGGTGATCACCACAAATGACAGGCAAGGCCCATGTGGAACAGGCCAATTCTGGTCTAAAATGAAGGACATCTGTTACCAGCACTTATCCTGAGAGGTGCTCAGATCCCCAAAATCCCACAGAAGCGAAAGGAAATTGGGGGTGATCAGCTCCTTGTAGGTCCCTAGGATGTTGTGACACGGATATTATCCAATGTAACGTTCGCAGTGACTGCTGGGGACCCTCCCCAAGGCCCATGCTGCTTCCAGAGCTAGTTGAAAGCTCATAGCTGTAATTCAATCTGGACTAGTGAAACACAGATGCCTCCACAGCCCCTGCCTGACAGGGAGTTAGAAGGGAATGAGAGGCTTGTTAAACAAACGTACCTGGTCCGCTGGAGAGCCTGAAAATAAATGTTAAAATAATTGGTTAATTTAGGGGGAAACGACCCTCTGTTTTGCACTTCCCTCTACTCCACGGCATAACTCAAGTGGCGACAGTGCCTCATCATCTTGACAGAAGGGACCAAAAGTGAGGCCCTACAGACTTGCTCCAACGCCCACTGACGTCAGTAGGAACCTTTCCATCCACATCACTGGGCTGTGGATCAGGCCCCAAATGGCACCCAGCTCTGCCAACGCACCTCAGGCCTGCAAACAAGGCTTTGGTAACAAACACATCCTGAGCCGCGCCCTGCGGATTTGTGCCCGGCTGTGTGTGTGGTGGGGGATTGGGGGGTGAGAGAGAGAAAGAGCATCGTGTGGTTATATGGCCCAAATGCCCATTAGAAATTAGACTAAGAACTGCATCCCCACCAACCACCACATCAGAGCAGTTGCAGGTGTAAATATAGTAACCCATGGAGCCATCTACTGACAGCCTATTTGTTTGTCTCCATTACACACACACACACACACACACACACACACACACACACTCTCACCTCCCTCCCCCTGCCCACTTAGGCGGTCTGATGGAATTTTCCTTCATTGTTGTCCCTTTTCCCTATCCTTGTTGCTTTCTAAGCGGCAACACTTTTACCTTCACCTGGAGGGAAGAATACTTCGTCTTCTCAGAGACTGGTTTGACACGACTTAGCCAAGAAGGGGTATTAAACAATGCAGTAAATTACCTTCCGTTACCCCTCTGCCTCCCACAACCCACAGCGAAACTCTGCAGCTTCCCAGTCAACATCTGTTCAGGTAGGAATCTCAAAATTGCTCCTAAATCGGATCTATATAGCCTGTACTTCATGTCCTATACAGTAAGTCTCTTCTAACATTAGCTTCAGCGAATCTGCCTGCAGGGAGATTTATTTTAGGGGGGAGGAATAGCTCAGTGGTTTGAGCATTGGCCTGCTAAACCCAGGATTGTGAGTTCAATCCTTGAGGGGGCCATTTAGGGATCTGGGGCAAAAATCTGTCTGGGGATTGGTCCTGCTTTGAGCAGGTGGTTGGACTAGATGACCTCCTGAGGTCCCTTCCAACCCTGATATACTATGATTCAGTCAAGTTGGTTGCAAGATCCCACCTGATGCATGGTAGGGATTAAGTATCTTTCCAACTTGCTTGCTGGTTTTATGTTCCTTTACTGTATTCGGAGTAGTCCCCTGAAATGTATGTATATTTACTACAGGGAACTACTTGAAATAGTCAGAATATACATATACACATACACACACAAGAGCTACACACAGTTACCATACTAGGAAGTGGATGGAAAACTCTTAAACATTTTTTCTTAATCTATTCAGAAATGGACATAAAACAGTGGATGACATTTAGTGCTAGTAAGAAAACAACTTCTATCTATCAGATCATTCACAAGAAGCCGAGCCCTTTTAAAAACAGCTAGAATGTCAAAAGACTTACTGATCTTGCAGGGAGGAATAATTTCCAAGCATTCTTTGTGAGCACCTGCTCCACATTTCATGCAAAGATAGCCCTGATAGAAAGTTCCTCTGTGAAAACAGAAGTGGAAATTTACGATTTTTCTTCATTCCGGTCCCCTCCTTGATATTTCTCCCCAATTACCTGTTTGTTTTACTTCTTGCATGATAGTTTATTCTGTAAACGTTTTACTATTTTTTTTTGCTAGTGACTAACATATGTGAAAGGTGCCAGATGGATAATCCTTCAGTGTATCCAACCTGCAGGAATAAGAGCACTAGGAAGGAAATGTGCCTCTACTCTGAGTTGGTAGGACCCACATCTAGGTAGCTCAGCCTTCTCCTTCATTCATTCATTCCTCAGCTTCTCTGCTGATGGTGGCCCATGTGGGTGTATCTGTGCCAACGACAATCATGACTTTTGCAACGTGGGCATGTCCCCCCTGGGAAGTGGATTGAAACCACCAGCTCATTTCATGTCGGGGCCCCGGACTCATCAGGTGGTAACCTGCAGTCACCTCTAACCTGGAGCTTCACGCTGGTGACTTAGCAGTGAGTAGACGCCCTACCCCTGTACCATCCCTGCAAGCCATCCACTTATGAACGCTACACCCTTAGGGAAGGCCAAACACCACCTGATAAAAGCCAAAAGTCAACACAGAGCCCTATTTCCCAGTTGAGCTTGCTGTACATCTGCAGAAGGCTCTACAGCTGACATCATAATGTTGGGCTAAAATCTCAGCCATTTTCAAGCAGGGAAGGTTGGATAGGTTGGATATTAGGGAAAACTTTTTCACTAGAAGGGTGGTGAAGCACTGGAATGGGTTTCCTAGGGAGGTGGTGGAATCTCCTTCCTTAGAGGTTTTTAAGGCCCGGCTTGACAAAGCCCTGGCTGGGATGATTTAGTTGGGAATTGGTCCTGCTTTGAGCAGGGGGTGGGGCTAGATGACCTCCTGAGGTCTCTTCCAACCCTGATATTCTAGGATTCTAAGGTCAAATTCATTCAATAAAAACTTCCATTGAGTCTAAAATCCCAGCAATAAGCATTGGTGTTTTTGTGCAGAGGAGGATTAAGCAAAGATATCAAATCGGTCAGTGGGAACACACGAACCAACCGGAGGAGAGGGTATGATCTGTGTTTAAAAAGAACCTGACTCTCCTACAGTGTTAATATAGACAAATCTACACTAGGCATGACGTTATACTGCCACTGATGGGCATCACACTGAAAGGAGGACATACCTCTGGTGTAGTTAAACTATCAGACTCCTGGGATTTAATCCCAGCTCTGCCACTTGACCTTAGGTAAATCACTTAACCTCCCTGTGCCTCAGTTTACTTATCTGTGAAGTGGGGATAATAGGATTTAGCCAACCTCAGGAGGCAGAGATGGGGAGGTGGTTTTTGAAACCTAATTTCTTGTGATGTGCTTTCAAATTTCCCCTATGAAATATGCAGTATAAGTGCAAAGACCTATTACTAAATGATAGCCTGTCCTTAGTTACCAGATCACGAGCTTGCAGGACTGTACGGCAAAAACCCACACGGATACAGTGTTTATTTGAATCCTGATTGGTTTAGCTATTAAATGTTATTGATGTTCCAACCAATCCCATAAGATTGCTCATGGAGAGGTTCTCAGAATAGCATATAAAGACCAGCAGCGACAATGCACACAATTCAATATGCGCAAGGAGTTTCTTAATGCAACATTTGTTGAGCTAATGATAATTTCATTTGCCATTGGGTAGGCCAGGCAATAAGCAGCCCCCCTGGGCAGGTTATAGCTTCAGCGTATGGTCCTTGTATGCAAGATTTATCTATAGCCTCAGGCCAGCAATTCTTGCTCCTTGCAGAAATTCTGCAATGATGCATAAAGGATTCTGTTTCCTGTCAAATGGCCAGATATTTATACCTGCTTTCCCATAGCAATGGGGCAGGGGCATGGACCGATAGCTCCTGTAGCTACTAGGCTATCCTGATCATTAGGGTCATTTATGCCATACAGCAGAGGTGAGCTGGAAGTCTGGGAGTTAGGTGTGACTTGAGAGCAGAGGAAAAGAAAAGAATGAAAAGAGGGAATAAAAAAGACAAACCCATTTTAGATGTTGAAAACATCTAGCCAAAGGGCTGAGGAGTATGAATTTTAAGTCACAAGGAGCTCACACATGACAGTCTCCCATTATTGTGTCCCCGTGAAATGTCCGTTAGATCAGTGGTTCTCAACCAGGGGGACGCAAGCAGGTTTCAGGGGGGCCACCAAGCAGGGCCAGTGTTAGACTCGCTGGGGCCCAGGGCAGAAAGCTGAAGCCCCCACCAGATGGGGCTGAAGTCCAGGGACCTGAGCCCCGCCACCCAAGGCTGAAGCTGAACTTCATTTTGTGGGGTCCTGTGGCGTGGGGCCCCAGACAACTGCCCTACCTGCTACCCCCTAACACTGGCTCTGGCTTTTATATGCAGAAAACCAGTTGTTATGGCACAGGTGGGCCACAGAGTTTTTATAGCACGTTGGGGGTGCCTCAGAAAGAAAAAGGCTGAGAACCCCTGTGTCAGACAGTGGACCCACTGTGTTGAATATGGAGTCCCCCAGAGGATGGAAGGCTACGCAGAATCCAGGTTTGGGGATGGGGAAACAGTCAAGAGAACTCCTGGTGGCTCCTATATTGGATCAGCCTGCCTGCGATGCGACAGCAAGGGGTGCCAAGTAAGTGGGCTGCCCCCAATGTGGGAAGACAGCCAGGCTTGGTGCGGATTAATGAGTCAAAAATCTATAGTTCAAATACAACCACAAGCCTGGAGAGCTGGAAGACGCCCATGGGCCCAACTGCTCCACACAGGGAGTGGCTGAGTAGTGTGACCGTGATACTGCAGAGCTAACATCCCGGTTAATGACATGAGGGCATGGTTTGTGGGAAAGGCTTAGGCTGGGATTCCCATTGACCTTCAGCAGTGTTGGGTACCTCTCTGCCCACTGTGCCTTTGAAAATCCCCCCTTTTGTGCGCCAGAGTAAATGCGGAACAAAGATGCTCCATCTTAGGGGCAGAGAGGGGAGTGGCAAATACAGCACAGCTGTCAGTTAACATTGGGCAGGTGTGTGCATGAAATACTGATAAAACCACAGCCTGTTCCCACCCAAATTTGTCCTCCCAGATTAGGGCGAAGGGGCCTGTTATCACCAACGCGGATTTCAAATTTGCCATAGCCTGAAACTCCGCAGCTGACAAGCGGTAAGTCAGAGAATCTCAGATTCCTAGCCCTGCCCAACTCACATCTTTTCTCGACTGGGTGAAAGACCAGGGAAATGATGAATGAGCAATTACACTTTTTTTTTTTTTTAAATGGACATGTTTCTAAAAAAAGTTTTCATCTGGAAGAGCCAGAAGAGCATTGCTCACCTTAAAAACATCTTGCACGCTTTGCAGTTGGTCGTCTTTTCAAACGTGTACATCTGGAAGTTGTGGTGATTCGCGTTGGCTTTTTCTGGCTTAATGTTGGACCTAACTCCAAAGAGGGGAAAAACCAAAACAAAAGACAAACCCCCAAAGTTGTATCAACCTGCCCTTGCCAGACTTTCTGAGTTCTATGGTTGCAGCTACTGTCTGGATTTCAGTCAAAGTTTTGAAATCACAAAGCATGGTATAAGATCTCGTACAAGAGTAAAAGAATTAGAGAATCATTTGGGGCTAGCGGTTGGGAGGGGGTTATGTGTGGTGCGTTAAACTTTCATTGATATATTCACACATGATCCTGTCTTTCCCTCCTAAGTCAGTCATTAACTAGAATTCACCACTGTGCAGAAGGCCAATATGAGACCTACGCACTACTTATGTCCTCAAAATAGGGCTTAAATAGGATGCCGTGCCCTTGTGCAGACTATCTGTGCAGATTTTAGCCCTTAACTCCGGTTATTTGGTCAAATACATGCTCAACATTGCATGCCATAGGTTTTCTCCCAAGGTGGCAATTTCTATAGACATCTTCCCTGCACACGCTTTTTGCATGAACCGTTTGGTTAGATGCTATCACATCAGGCCCAATTCCGGAAGCCCTTTGTGCATGGACGGCCTATGGAAGTCAGTGAGAGTTGCAGATCAGAGCGCTGGGCTCTGAGAACTAGCAACTGAGTTGACCAGGCCATGTTTCATTAGCAGCAATGGTGTGCACCCCGAGATGATTTTTGCAGGGAAGCTTAAAACACTCACATTGCCATTTCAAACTGCTCCATCCACTTCCTCTTCATGTCTTCTGTCTTGCAGAAAAACTGGAAGCCCTGCTTTCCTTGAAGGTGAATCAGGTAGAACCCATATGACCACTGCAACAGGAAATCAAAATAAATGATCAGATGTTGGTTCTTTCACCCTTACCTCTTTGTGCTGAATGCTTAAGCAACAACATCTGGGGCGGGGTGGGGGGGGCTAATTCAGGTCCATTTGTCATCTGTTTTACTGTGTTCTCTTTACTTGCCTCTGTGGTTACAATGGACCTCTCTGGTGATAAAAGCAGGGGAGTGGTGCAAAGACCAGCTTTGTATCTCGATTGTACCTTGCAACAAATGACTTAATGGTTGACTCTGGTGCACACCATCATCAACCAGAATTTCATGGCAGCAGATGGGAGAGAACCCAGATCCTGCGGCTCCAAAAAGCTCAGGTCCCTGCCATTAAAGCTAAAGGAGACTCTCCATTCACCATCAGCAATATACAGCCTATGACACACATCCAACCTGCCCTGCAGAAGGCAGTGGTGCATATACACACTAGCCAGTTCACTACAATGTTAAAGAAAATAAAGTGGATCTCGTGGTTGCTTACCATTTTTCCATGAGACTAGAAAGCATAAGAGAGCAAAGTGGAAACACAATTCATTAAAACAGAAGGCTAGCAATCTCTCTTCAACATCACAGCAGCAAAGCCACCAATTATTTTCAAAATGGCACAACAGCTCCCTTGTTGCTAGCCTGTACGTTGTACCACACTAACGGGGTGGCCAAAGCTGCTAAGCTGTGGAGTCTACTGGGATGCAGATCTTCCTTTGTGTCATCACCTCAGCCCAAAACCAGGCAAAGTATGTGCATCTCTGATAGAGAAACTTGGTTTAGAAGAGTGTACCCAATGCAAAAAGCCTGCCATGTCCATGCTAACCCTGAAAAATAGACACTTTCTACAGCTTCGAGGGTTGTCTGCTGAGGGACAGGTCCAAGAAGCTACAAAGATCCCACCAGACCAAGGCTTCCACCACGACCTTTGGGTCGGCCATTTTTAAAGAAACAGCACTCTCCACTGGGATATTTGAACTCCAGTATTGATAACTCCCACGCAGCACTAGGAAGGAGAAACCATTAGAGATGCCTTTTCCAGAACAGTTATTGCTGGAGGTTCCACTCCCATTAGCTCTTCTGAACAACAGGCAATGATAAACCTGGCCACTCGGCCCACGTTCCCTCTCCCAATGATAACTCCGGAGCTAGTGCTTGAGAGCGCGAGAGCCGCTGTGCTTGCCACGATCTGCAGTCTAGAATACTAGGTTAGTATTCTGTAAAATGCACCGAGGCACGGGGAGCGTGAAGCTTGGAGCCCGGAATGAGACACACATAACTAACGCCCAGTCACCCGGAGGTGTGAATTGGAATAAGCATGTGTATGTCTTGCCCATTCTTCCCCATCCTCCATTCCTTTTTTAGGTCATTTTTATCCTTTCCAATTTGTCTGTGAATTACTCTCTCGGAGAGTGGCTTCTCTAAAAGAACAGAGCAGCTTCCCCCATTCCAGTCAAGTCATTCTAACTTCTCGAGGGCTCTTTTGCAGGCCCCAGGTCAGGGGACCCAGCTCAGCCTCCCATTTCTAAGCTCCTTGCCCTGAAATCAAAGAGTTGATTGTCCAGATTTTACAAGCGCCATTTCTGTTTTAGAAGTCCAATGGGAGAGGAGGTGCCTTAGGACACTGACCTGCATGAGTATGAAAAGCTGTCCAAGAGAGCTAAGCCAGTTCCTTGCTCTGTCCACCTACCTTCTTAATGTCCTTGTTGTTCATGGGATCATCGGTCATCTTATGGAAAAGCAGCTCGATAATTTCTTTCAACTCATAATTGTATCCTTTCCTTTTACAGACGATCACCACTTTATCGAACAAAAATAAATACCTGCCAGAAACCAAATCCCACATCTAATTATATATACACCTTTCACAGAAAGCTCAGCGGAGATTATTCCCCGGTCAGGACAGTGAAACGTTGCTAGCTATATAATGATTTAACATTGAAGGCGCTCGGTGTCCATGCAATTCTAAGTAACAACCAAATTAAGGAGGCTGAAACGTGTGGAAACATAGGACCAAATATCCTGCTGGTGTCACTCAACTGACTGTAAGGGAGACAATTTGGCCCATAGATCGTCTTACTGGGCAAGGGACTAGGTGAAAAATAAAATTAACCTTCAGTTTGTTTATTTGGAAAGACTTCAGAACAACGGTTCTTTTTAGAAGAAAATGTTCTGACTCCTGTGATGATAGAGCTCTCAAAGGTGTTTCATAGACAGGCCGCGTAGTGAGAAGACATGTCAGTTTTGCTTCCTGAGGCTCTTCTAACTGTAAACCAGAGCTCCCAAGAGCTGTTGTATATTTCACTTGTAGGTAACCTCCAGGAAACATACAGTACTCTGTAATCATACAGGAAAAAGCTCCCCAGCTCTGTCTGAGACACCCTGAAATCAGCCACTGGAAAGGTTCACCTAGCACACACAATCCCTTCAATAGGGATGCAGCTTTATTTGACTCTGCAGAAAAAATAAGACGACAGGGCTTTCCTCTGAGTGCCCTCTCTGCAGGGCTCAAAATCAGTGTAAGTGGCTTTAAACCTAACTACACGTCCTACAATTCCGCGGGTTGGCAGTGAATCTAAACGGTAACAGAGGAGCGTTTGCATTTGCAAAGCCCAAGAGAGCTTTAGCCCCCCAAACAATGAGTTTTAAAGTAACAAAAAACAACCTAAGCATTTCACGGTGGATGAAACTTGTGGACTCGAGAATTGCCAGTTTTTTATGATTTAACATCGGACTTGAAAGCTTCTGCCTCTGGGCATTGTGGGATATATGACTGGGGCCTGAGGAGAAACACTGGAAGTGAACACCCTCCAGGCTTTGGGAGAGTGCTAGTCAGCATCTAAACCTGGGCCTAGAGATGAATTTCACAGCTTACCTGTCGCCTCCTTATAATGGGCCACACCTGCTTTCAAACACACTAAATTGCTGGGAGGCGGAGAGCTGAAATCCATACTAAGCATGACTTCTTATCTCTAGAAGATCGGGCCTCTTCAAACTAGATTGGCCAGCGCACTACAAAATGTACGCTAGGAAAAATCCTGCATTGGCAGAAGGATGGACGGGATGATTATCCAGTCTTTTCTGTGTAATGCAACACCCCCTAGCTGGGTTGTCAGCAATGGGAATTGAACCTGAAGCCTCTGCACCTAAAAGCAGGAGCTTCCACTTTCCAAGCTTCTTTGGCTCCAAGACTGTAGGTGATCTAAACCTCTGTGCTTCAGCCACTAGAGGGGGACAGAAAGCCACGCCATCTATCTGCAGGTTCCGCACACACCCTGGTCAGGGAACCTCAGGAGCCTGCCCAGCTCAAATTCTTATACCAGCCACCAAGTGTAAGGCGATGCCCCTGGGTGAGTCAGCATGAGCCAGGACTGAGCCCATGACCTATGGATCTAAACCCATTATGATTCTAAGACAGATGTTAAGCTGTATTAGAGCCCCCGGCTAGGGTGACCAGCCAGCAAGTGTGAAAAATTGGGACAGGGTAATAGGCGCCTATGTAAGACAAAGCCCCAAATATCGGGACTGTCCCTATAAAATCAGGACATCTGGTCACACTACCCCAAGTGCATAGCAGTAAGGACCCCTGTGCTGCACTTAGCATTTGGAATGGTGTTTCTTGTAACTTGGCTTTCTGTGAGAACGTTGTCTTTTTTCATTGTCCACTTCTTTGTTTCTTCATTCACTCACCTGTCCTGCTTGGTGTGGTTCACTATGGAACGGACTTTCAGTTCACCGTCTATCTTTGGCCTCCCGAATTCTTCCAGTTTCCCTTGCTGCGGGTAGCAAAATGTATGTTAGCAATGAGAGGTTTTTATTTCTGAACCCAAAAAGTCTCTGAATGTGGCACAAAATGTAAAGAAACAAAGAAGACAGTTTCCAAAGGGCAATAAAGCCCCTCCTCCCCCACCAACACCCGAACAATCAGTTTCACACATACAGAATGGGAAGAGACTGTCTAGGAAGGAGTACGGCAGAAAGGGATCTAGGGGTTATAGTGGACCACAAGCTAAATATGAGTCAACAGTGTAATGCTGTTGCAAAAAAGGCAAACATGATTCTGGGATGCATTAACAGGTGTGTTGTGAGCAAGACACGAGAAGTCATTCTTCCACTCTACTCTGCGCTGGTTAGGCCTCAGCTGGAGTATTGTGTCCAGTTCTGGGCACCGCATTTCAAGAAAGATGTGGAGGAATTAGAGAGGGTCCAGAGAAGAGCAACAAGAATGATTAAAGGTCTTGAGAACATGACCCATGAAGGAAGGCTGAAAGAATTGGGTTTGTTTAGTTTGGAAAAGAGAAGACTGAGAGGGGACATGATAGCATTTTTCAGGTATCTAAAAGGGTGTCATAAGGAGGAGGGAGAAAACTTGTTCACCTTAGCCTCTAAGGATAGAACAAGAAGCAATGGGCTTAAACTGCAGCAAGGGAGGTTTAGGTTGGACATTAGGAAAAAGTTCCTAACTGTCAGGGTGGTTAAACACTGGAATAAACTGCCTAGGGAGGTTGTGGAATCGCCATCTCTGGAGATATTTAAGAGTAGGTTAGATTAATGTCTATCAGGGATGGTCTAGACAGTATTTGGTCCTGCCATGAGGGCAGGGGCCTGGACTCGATGACCTCTCGAGGTCCCTTCCAGTCCTAGGATCTATGAATCTATGAACCCAGCTCAGATTCCAAAATGGGCCCCTAGCAAAGGAGAGAACCACCACTCACCAAAACGTGAATCACCTCATCAGTAATGTTAGCTGGGATGGACTTGAATACACAGAGGGAGAACATTCCAAAGACTCAGTAAATAGAGAAGGTGCACTGGCGTAAGATTATACTGTGGGGTCTATCTTGAGTGGCAGAGTTCATATAAACAGTATCACCTAAAGCCAGATGGAATTCCAATAGGCGACAGTTACTACAGAAAACGACCCTAGAAGTGGTGTTAGAACCCTGAGGCTAATGTTTGGGTTTGATGACAAGTCAAGTCAAGAATCTGGGTGCAAAAGTTTAGCGGTCAAGTAATTTTTGCAAGATTTCCACTCTGGGTGGCAGAAATCTCATGAGATCAGCTACTCTCGGGAGATTTTCTATTGAAACTGCACTGGAACCAGAAAATAGAGGTCTTCCAATTTTGGCTCCCATCTGGAACCAAAACCAGAGATTTGGGGCAGATTCAGAGGCCAGAATCATGAATCTCTCTCGCCCCCCGCAAGCCCTTGCAAATGCTACTCAATACAGCACTGTAATTGAGTGATATGAAACACTCCAGCTACACAGTGCTCTTTTTTTATTTAAAAAAGTCTTGAATCTTCACCGTTGATCAGAAAAATACATATTGTATACAGCTGTGCACATAATCTGTGGTTATTTCATTGCTGTGCTGTGTGGGTTGTGTATACATAATGAGAATAAATCCATAACATCCGCTACCGAGAAACGAAATTAAACACAGAGCAGAGCGTGTGTGGGATTGATCTGAAGCAAGAAATGACTGCTTTGCTAACATTTCATCTTCTGCATGTCACACCAGCTCTCAGACTGTAGCAGGGAAAAGCAGATGCTTAAAGTACCCATTCGCATTCCAATTTTTAAAGAGCACCACACATCTCATTTCTCATACAGATCATGACTTATCATGACTGTTCCAATCAACACCTATGAGCCGGAATGGCCTACATCCCACTTTGGAGTTTTCTCAGGTTTCTCTTGAAAACTAGGGATTCTGTCTCAAGTCTGTTAAAGAATCATCTATTAAAGTCGACAGTGTCCTCCGGACTCAGGATAACACAGACAGGTACACGGTGCTGAGTGTACTCAGCTCCCATTGATTTCAGCTGCACTTCAGCAGATCAGTCCCTCATGTGGTTTGAAAGACAGATGTCTGGTCCATATTTTTGGAGTTCTGTGCTCAGGAATAGATTACTTGTGCTGCTCTTTCCCTTGTATACCGGGCTATACTCTTGTTTATTCATCTCCTCTCTCTACCCGCTTAACAGCGAAATAAAAACATTTTAAACAGCAGCCAGATGTGCAAGAATTCATTTTTGGAAAAGGACGGTCCCCCAACATTAGCGGCATGCAGAAATAAAGTCTGGGAAATCCTTTCAATGGAAAAAAATGACAGTCAAACATCAGGATCAAATAGATTTTATAATGTATGGGTTCCATTTTTTGGAATTTGAACAAAATTAATACACAGATAAGAAGAGGTTGATCAAATACAAATTGGTCTTTTAAAGATAAGTACAGGTGATAGTGAAATTTGTTAATACTTGTCTGGAGAGTTCAAGTATGTTAATAAAGATAAAATAAAAAGTTGGGGGCTAGGAGGAAAAGAGAAGATTCTCAAACTCACCAAGTTTTCTATAGATTTCTGAAATTCACGTATTTTCTTTAAGGTCTCTTTGTCTCTCTTGACTTCATTTATGTACATGGCCAAGTCCTTAAGAGAAAAACAAATGTTGATTCAGTATTTCTGTTTCCCTTCTAATCAAGAATCCTTAAAAAAACCAAAAACACTCGACTTAAGGAGTCACTTCAGAAAGTGAAGATATCAGCAGCTCTGTGGGAATCAAACAACCAACTAGCACATTGACTGTGTGTCAGAGAAAATACAAATCGGGGAACTCAGAACTAGCGCAAAATATTTCTGCTGGATTTAAAACAAGAATCAGTCAATTAAAACCAAGTAAGCAAGCCACCCAAGCATGTCTGGTATCACTGTCTATAATCTCTGCATCAGTACATTGCTCACATATATCAAGAGTGCTCAATATTCTGCCAGCTGTATCATTCAACACTTCTGAGACTCCTTAAGCATCTTGGCCCAAACATTCTCCATCCTTTCCCATGTGCCCTTCTAGGATTTTCTTGTTAAATAACTAGATAGGCGCTGCAACTCTACCGATGAACAGAAGAGGGCAATACTTTAAATTAGCATTAGAAAGTATGACGGACTTAGAAAGTCTTTAAAAGCACAGTCCTGACTTTCCACTCAGCAGCTACCTGAGCTGACGTTCAAATTCCATCCAGCATAACTCTTAGAAAATAAAGAGTTTTCTGACTCTTCTCATTCTCCTCCATTCTCACGCAGTGCCTTCCACCTCAACACTCCCTTTTCTTTCAACTCCTTCTTCACTCCATTCATCATCATCCTAGTGCAAAAGGCACGTGCCAGACATTCTTAACCACTGTACCTTTGACCATCCTCTGTCTATATATTAACTAAACAGACAGTAAGCTACGCTGGACAAGGACCATGTCTATACTTGCTCCTAAGCCTCTTGACAACTTTTTAGCACTACGGCCCCAATCCAGCAAACCCCTAAAAACATTTCAGTACTCCCATGTACTTCAATGTGACTTTAAACACGTGCTTAAGTGCTTTGCTGGATCGGGGCTTATTTCAGCAACACCACTGGAGTTCTTATAAAGGTAAAGCATCTTGCAAAATAACGATGGGAGCCCTGAACGCACATAGCCATTTACAGTTGGGATGTCAGAGGTTAAGACATCTGTAAAAGAATTCTTCCAATACGAGGGAAAACTTTAGCGGAACTATTCCTGTGCTGAAAATAGTCACAGTAACTAAGTGTGTCTTTGCATTACAGAGATCAGATTTCTCCTGGTTATTGCATTCTCCGGCCAAGTTCCCCAGTTACCTGAATTCTGACCCAGAGGGCAGAGAAAGACTTCTCTAACCCTTCCACCACACTAATTTCTTACTACATCTTTAACAGTATTTTTTAATATATTTATGGCCTGTCATCTAGATGCCTCTGTCTCTTTTCCCTCAACTATAATTCTTGTCAGCTTGGATTAAATCTGAACACCATAGAATTTTTCAAGACATCCCCTCGGGTGCAAACTTTCTACAGCTTTCCAACATAAGAAGGATTAATCAGAGATAATAATCATAATCTTAAATGACAATACTTATATAACATCACATAATACCCATTTAAATAGTCAGTGTTGGTAACAGTTAGGACGGGGGAAAAGGGTAAAGTGATCAGGTGAAGTAAGATTCCCCTGCATGTCAAAGTCACCTGAAGCCACTTCCCTTCTCATTTGCGTCCTCCTATGGAACAGGCCATCTTGCAAACATGGGAGAAACACAGCCTTGAGATCTACAGTGAACCATCAGCTTGACCAGATGTGCAAACTGGGCTCCTTCACAATGTAACAAGCATTAAAGCAACCTTTGCATTGTACGCAGTGATTTGTGTGCAAGACTGTGCACCCAGGCGATGGGATTTTGCGTATGCTAAAGACTTACATGTGCAAATCTTGCACAAATGCCATTGTCTTGTGCAAATCTTACTGCTAGTTCATGCAAATGACCATGCATGGAAAATCAGAAGTGAGGCTGAAGCCCCTGGGACAATTCAGCTCTAGGCTTGGCTAACTAGACGTCTGGGTTTCCCATCACTGGCGCATAGGAGCGCTAGAATCATCCAGCTAATGAACAAGGCTGGACTCTAGATGAAATAAACCATTTGAAAACTAAGCCTAGATTTTCATACGAATTAAAGTAAAATTTTGATGCTTCCTGTGACCATGGCAAGTCCAACACTGAGTCAAATCTATACCCTCGTGATGGTGTGAAAATGGAAGCAAACGATCCTGTCTGATGGCTACTGGCAGCTTTATAAAGAAAACACTGAACCTTTAGCACAGCCAGGATTTTTTATTATTAGCATTGCATCTTATTCAACAAAGCCTGATCTCTTCAAAAACACACAGCCACCAAAGGAATCAAATAGTGGAAAGACAGAATCCTGCAATGCGTGAAAATGTCTCTGTGACTCTCTCCCTTTTTTAAACTATCACCACATTTCACTAATCGCCCAGTGAACAGTGAATTTTTCAGGTGGGGAGTTCTGGATATCAGACGGAATAGCTCACACCAGCACTCGTGGTATGTTTACACTGCAAAAAAAAAAAAAAAGACCCACTGTAGCAAGTCTCAGAACCAAGGTCAAATGACTTGGGCTCACGCGATGGGGCTAAAAATAGCAGTGTAGACATTCAGGCTCAGGCTGGAACCTGAACTCTGGAACCCAGCGAGGGGGATGCTCTCAGAGCCTGGACTCCAGCCTAAGTCAGAATGTCTACATTGCTGTAAGCCCCATAGCGTGAGCCCGAGTCAGTTGACCCGGGCTCGGAGACTTGCTGTAATGGGTCTTTTGTTTCTGCAGTATAGACATACTCTCAGACAGTGAAAAGTGGGGGAAGGGAAGGACACGTCGTGGCTCTTTCTTTCCATATATTTAAGGGATTGATTTATTTTCAAAGAGTCTCCTTCCCAATTCCTCCCCCGCCATTTAAATCCTTGCTCACCATCCAGGTTTATATTATAAATCTCTGTCTATCCATGGACCTGAGTAGTTCCCCCCCAATCCCACCCATACATTGGCTGAAGTTTCCAACACAATGGGAGAACTCTCAGGGATAATAGTCAAAACGAGTCAAGCTCTATGGGTCTGACCCAGTGCCCACTGAAATCAATAGACAGACGCCCATCGACTTCAGATCAGGCCCTATATCGTAATAGGGACTGTTCCCCCTCCCCCCCCAGGCATTACTCTGGAAAGTGCTGGGCATCCTTAATTCCCACTGACTGTGGCAGGAGTCAAAGGCACATAGCATGCAACAGCCTTGGGCACGACGGATGTAATTCTTGATCCTTGCAGTACGAAACCAAACAAACTTTCAATTCACAGTTGGTCAGGAAGGTAAGAAGCCACACACAGCATTCAGGGAGTCATAAGCAGCACTTAGATAATTCACGTTGCAGAAAGAAGGGCTTTAGAAAACTACTTCGGTGGAACCCACAAGTTTAGCTTTGTAATGTAAGAGAATCAAGGTAGGTCAGTTCCTGTTAGCAGCAGTAGATCAGACTGCAATGTCCTTCAAACAACCTTCATGTTCCCATGACCTACATACCAGCTCTGGATGCACTGGCTAGCAGGGATGATGACTAAAAAGGTCACTCAACTTATGTAAGTCCTAGGAAATGCAGTGTCATTAGAAAAAAAGCTGATCCTCAGAGGCAGAAAACAAACAACGTGATCTCAGAACATAGAGGGCAGCTCAGTGGTAAATGTTCTACAGGGTCATGAAGACGATCTGGGTTTAATGACTGGTCCTACAGGCTGATTCCGCTCTGAATTACATGACTGGAAAACCAGAGAAACCTGCAGAAAACTGTGACGAAAGTAAATTTGTTTTTGTTGTGATTTTTCTCAGATTTGGGGGTTTCAAGGTTTTCATTGAAACTCACAAACTTTCAAACACACAGAAATTTCCATTTTGTGGACAAGCCATTTTCCATCAGAAAGACCCAAACAATTTAGATGGAAAAATCCCAACCCACTCCACTCAGTGGTATTCAGATCTGGATGATGGTGCATCCCCATCTATGCTCCATGCAGACACAGTACACAAACACAGAGGGACAAATTTCCACAACACTGATGTCGATTCGAAGTAACGCCACACACGTCAATGGAGTCACTCCAGATTTACACTGGTGAAAGTGAGAGTCGAATGTCACAGTACATCTACATAGAATGGTTATCAGTGCAAAACTGCCAACCAATACCAGCTTCCCACTGTGCTTTGGAGAGGAGATAATGGTGCCAACTATGCATTTGTTGTGAAATGACTTACTAGAGTGCATATGCATATCCTAAAGGAAAAGACATCTCTTTCCTCTGCCCGGATGTGTTACACTTTTCCCTCTGAAGTTTTTGCTACACATAATTGACCTTCCTTCCCCCCCAGGTAGAAGTATTGCACCTGAGCAGTGACACACATCTCTCCCTGCAGCTTTTGCAAAGAAAGGAAGAAGCATGTTTATGGAATCTTAACACCTCTAAACTGAGCGATCTGCAACGGCTATGTCTGAACTCTTCGCAAGCATCACTATCTTTGAAGAAATAAGTCTTTAGGTTTTAAGCTCTTTGGGGCAGGAATAGTTTCTCTTGTGTGTTTGTACCGTGCCTAAAGCAACGGGGCACTGACCTCGTGGTGCTACTGTAACACAGATAAATAATAGCCTAGACCCTGATTGATCTCCATCATTTCAGCCTAACGTTCAAGGGCATGCTGCTTCTACCAGTTCCCTGCGGGTGGACTGCGTCATTCATCTCCTACCTGCATGGCTTCCAAAGCTTCCTTGAGTTGTTGCTTTTCTGGCCGATCAGACGAATGGCTGAGAAGCTCCTGCAAAAAAATATTCTGAGCGCGTTAGGAAAGTTTCACACACTACTGCCCACCTCATGTAACAGCGCACAATACAAGCAATTACTACATGCCACTGTGAACATATAGCAACAAAGCTGTGGCAGTCAGTCGGCAGCTATAACCATAAGGAGACGAACCAGCAAAGCTCTTGGTGCTCGGTGGATCTGTTACACTGAGCTGACGGGAGGAATTTCACACATAATCAGATTATTTTATATTCATTAACTGCCGCTCATGGCTAACGAGTGCGGAATTACCCTTGGTCATTGTACTTTAAAAGATGGCACAAACATTATGTTGTGTTTAAGCAGCTGTAGTAATTATTTCATTTAAAGATAAAAAAAATCCCTCGCTCTGCTGATTCCATTTGCTACGGGAAAAGCCCAGAGATGCTACGGCAAGAACGGCCACCGCAAAGAAAATTTTGATTCTGAAACACTTACTTTTAATAGGAGATGATACTTCAAGACCCTTTGCATTGGTACCACCAACAGATCTTGCAATTTAAACTTCCCATCCTGAACCTTTAATGTGCATTCCTAACAATGAAATAAAATCAATGGAGAGGTGGGAAAAAATTCTTCTCAATCTGCTTTGTTTTGCTTCTGTAAACTCTCAAAGCACAATGCATTATTAGTTCCTAATTTTTCCAGGAGGGGCACTGGGGTTGGGGCGGATGTCCCAGTTCCATCATGTACACAGTCCCGCCTCTCACTTCCACTCCTGCAGAGCTGGTTGTGCTCCTTTGCATGTGGGAGACCTAGGTCTGAGTCCCTTGCTTCCTCTCTCCAGGCAGGGGACAGAAGTGCTGGGAGCAGACTACTCAGCCTCCAGGGGAGTAGAGGAGTGGCACCATGTTTCAGAATGCCCAAGTAGTGACCACTCCAGCTGATTCAGTGGCAGCACTGGTTGGTTCTGATGGGAATCCGTTCCAGGCCACAGAGGGGAAGTAGTGACTGGGACATAGTGAGCGATTGCCCCAAATCCACTGGGGGAGGGGGGGGAAACCACCTAGAAAGAGAGAACATGTCTCCCTTATCCCAGACAATATTAAACTATAAGACTAGTGCATTGCGATGGGCCTGATACAATGGCCCTAGGCTACGCAGAGAGATAGGCTCTGCTAACAAGCGGAAATGTAATTAAATAAGGAGAAATGGATGAACAGCTAGAGGTCACAGCAGCAGCGCCGTGGGGACTGGGCATAATCTGGATCGTAATATTTTGATGTGAGAGCCGGGGGGCGGGGCTTATAAAAAGGGATTCAGCTCGTAACCACATTATTGCATTTGCACGGTGAATCACAGGCCATTGGTGGACAATAAAATAACACACAGAGGCAGCCCAGCAATTTGAGATGAACATCACGAATGAAGCAGGAATTACAGCTGGAAACAAACAGCAGCTCCAGTAGCCTGTCCTTTCTGGCTCCTCTACCTCACAGGGGTGTTGCGAGGACAAAGACACTAAAGCTTGTGAGGAGCTCAGCTACCACCGTAGTGGGGGCCACAGAAGTGTCTAGACTAGATAGAGAGATCCTCCCTAGTCTGGTAGCCCATGCGATACAGATTCCTATTGATGTAAAGTCTTCAGAAGACAAGAATGAGGGGGGATTCGATAGCTGCTTTCAACTACCTGAAAGGGAGTTCCAAAGAGGATGGATCTAGACTGTTCTCAGTGGTGGCAGATGACAGAAAAAGGAGTAATGGTCTCAAGTTGCAGTGGGGGAGGTTTAGGTTGGATATTAGGAAAAACTTTTTCACTAGGAGGGTGGTGAAGCACTGGAATGTGTTACCTAGGGAGGTGGTGCAATCTCCTTCCTTAGAGGTTTTTAAGGTCAGGCTTGACAAAGCCCTGGCTGAGATGATTTAGTTGGGAATTGGTCCTGCTTTGAGCAGGGGGTTGGACTAGATGACCTCCTGAGGTCCCTTCCTACCCTGATATTCTATGATTCTAAAGAGAAGATGGGTTTGGTGGTCTCGCTGTCCTAGCCCCAAGGAGCCATTTGGGCACACAACACAGGAGATAGAACAATTCAGTCCCTAATGCCGAGTCAGTGTAAGTAGGCCCATGTCCCCATTGACTTCAATAGGTTGTAACAGCTTGTGCCAGAACTGAACGTGGTCCAAAAATCTCTGCTCAAGGGAGGCACAAAACTGGAGCATCGGCGGGAGGAAAGGCTGGGCTGACCCAGAGCAGGAGCTGCCCGAGCTGTGCGTGGAAACTGCCCGCAATGCACCTGGCTCCAGCAGCACAAACATCTGCCAGAAATTCAGCACCAATGACATAGGCGCCTGATTCAAAGCCCACTGGAGTCAATGGAAAGACTCCCCCCTGGCTTTGGATCGGGCCCAGAACACCCCAACGACAGAGGCAGGGAGTGATTTCATCTTCCTGGGGTGGAGCCGTCACAGAGGTGACTTTCTCAGGCTTGGGGGGCAGGAGCAAGGCGGAGAGTTATTCACACATGCAGCCCTATGCCGCTTTTGAAAGGTGAGGAGGTTGCAGAGGGGCTTTATAGAGGGGTGAAATGGCGGGTGGGAATGACAGGATATGTGGGACGCCTGCTGTGCTGAGCTAGTCCGATCCACTGTTACAGCCTTTTTACGGGGGAGGTGGGCTGAATGATCCAGAGGCCAATCCTATGAAGTGCTGAGCTTCCAGCGACATCAACAGTGATCTTCCACGGGGCTCAGTGCAGGAACGACTGGGTGAAATCCTCTGGCTTGTGTTAGGTAGGAGGTCAGAGAGGATGATCCTTCTGGCCTGAAAATCCATGAATCTCTAAACGGGCGCTGAGGGTGCTCAGCACCTTGCCGAGGGACGATGAATCGGGTCTTTTCCATCATCCATGGCTGTCATTGATCATGACACAACTGGCTGGCTGGGGGAGGCTTTGGGGGCCTTCCTGCTACAAAGCCAGAGTATTTAAAAAAGGGGGGGGGGGAATGAAACACATTCATGAAACCGTCTAAACATGGCAGCTTTAAGCCTTGCGCCATGGAGGCTACGCAGGTGTAAGAGGCCGATTCTGCCCCCTGCTCCGGACAGTGGCTATTAAAAAGCTACAAGGGGCTAGTGGGAACTTCTCTAGCACTGGCCCTGCAATGGGGTGGGAGGCAGATGGGCAATAGTACAAGGTACTATGGAGATTTGGGGCTGCTCAGTGGCCCAAGTAAAGACTGCCTGGGCTGCTCTGATTTATGCCAGGCAGCAGACTGGCAGACCCCCAATCTGAGTGGCTGACGCTATCTTTGCCTGCCAACCCCCTTGTGCTGCCCCAGAATCAGCCCCCCCAATTCTTCCTTCCCTCTTTCATCAAAGCTATTGGGAAATTCGCCTTAATCATTCAATCCCAGCAGCCGTGTCAAAACCCGACAGCGAAGTAAATCCAGGAAGGGAGGCAGAACACAAAAGAGCTATTGGACTGAACGCCCCATGCGTCATTCCAGTCGCCCCCACATCCACTTACCTCAACTTTTTGCCTCACGTCCTCTTTGCTTGCAATGAGAGCGTTCAGCGTATTTTGGGCGCATTCCATATGGCTGCAGTACTCCCCATAAATCAATAGCCTGGAAAGGATTTAATCAGAAACATTTGCCGGCAGTCATTACTCAATATAAAAAAATATGGGAGAGTGCAAAGCAAACAGCTACTCCCCCGATATAACTGCTCAATGAAGTATTAACACTTTTTTATGGCACCGCTTTTTTAACATCGAAACACTGAGGCTTTCAGAGACGTGTGTTCGAGCCTGTGTGGGAAATTTGGTCACCAAAATTAGGCTGGTGGGGAGTAGGGTGACCAGATAGTAAGTGTGAAAAATCGGGATGGGGTGGAGGGTAATAGGCCTCTATATAAGAAAAAGGCCCAAATATCGGGATTGTCCCTATAAAATCGGGACATCTGGTCACCCTAGTGAGGAGTAGAAGGGACATTTCAATTAATCTGCCCTCCCATTACAGAAAGTAAAGTGGCTCATCCCTCAACTGCCAGGTCCCAGAGCCCTGGCATAATTCCAACACTGGCCTGTAAAATCCCTAAAGCCAAGTTTGCTTGGGTGAGACCAGATGTTAAACTATAATTGTATGGTGCAGTGCTAATACCCCCCTGCTCTGGATTGCTATGAAGTTCCTGTTCACGCAGGAGGAAAGGACCCTTTTCTTTTCCTCTTTCCACTGACTGAGAAGCTCCAAAACAGCCCAGTGCCTATCCGGCTCTGCTGCTACTTCTCCAATAGCGTATTCTGAGAGCCCCACCTTCCTTTCTCTTTTCAGACACCAGTTTCTTTTTTAATAACTTTCTGAACAGAGATGGGTCTGGCTCAAAACTCTGGATCGAAACACATCAGGACTTTGGAAAAGTCTGTATCTGAATCCAGATCCCAACTTCCTACCGAGTTCTTATCTCTACAGGGAGTAGGGTGACCAGACAGCAAGTGTAAAAAATCAGGAGGGGAGTGTGTGTGTGTGGGGGGGTTAATAGGAGCCTATATAAGAAAAAGCCCCCCAAAATCAGGACTGTCCCTATAAAATCGGGACATCTGGTCACCCTAATAGGGAGCTGTACTGAAGTCCCAGAGCTCAACGCCCTTGTTTCATAGAATCATAGAATATCATGGTTGGAAAGGACCTCAGGAGGTCATCTAGTCCAACCCCCTGCTCAAAGCAGGACAAATACCCACCTAAGTCATCACAGCCACAGCCTGACCTTAAAAACCTCTAAGGATGGAGATTCCACCACCTCCCTAGGTAACCCATTCCAGTACTTCACCATCCTCCTAGTGAAAAATTTCCCCCTAATATGCAACCTAAACCTTCCCCACTGCAACTTGAGACCATTGCTTCTTGTTCTGTCATCTGGTACCACTGAGAATAGTCTAGATCCGTCCTCGGGTATTGTTGTTAAATTATTATTTGTAGTATTATTTAAAGTATTAAGTAAAGTATTATTTGCAGTAGCACTTGGGAGTCCCTGTCATGGACCAGGACCCCATTGTGCTAGGAGCTGTACAAAACACAGAACAAAAAGTTAGCCTCTGCTTCCAAGAGCTTGCAACCTGGATATAATACCACAATCTTGTGGCTCAAGGCTATCTGCAGGACAGATATATTAAAAAAGAATCTGTTTCAGGAAGGAGCATTTAAAAAAAATAAAACTGCCTCCAGGAAGAATCTCCTTCATAGCATGTTATGAAACGGCTCCATCAATGGTAAGCAAATACACCACCCCACGCACCGTATCTCGTATCCGATGATTGCAATACAAATCGCACGGCCCACATACTAAATGGAGCTGCAAGGATGCATTAGCAATTATGTAGTTAATGCACCTTAACTCCAGTGGCCCAGGGGCACCAGTTACACTGTGTATTTCGTTGCCTCCCCCAAACCATACATCTAGAGATCAACAAGCCTGTTGAGCTGAGCGTCCCCAGAGTCAAAGCCGTGGATGCTGTCCAAGGTGCAGGAATGAATGGATGGGCGACCTCTATTTAAAGTTCACCCAGGGTCCTACAGCTTCTCCCTCCCCAAACAATATTTCCCCTCTGATTCATTTCCGTTAACTCACTTCCCCCATTTGATCCTAGGTAGCTTGATGTTTAAGCAATAACCCTTAGAAAGCCTATTGGGAAAGATACTGGAGAGTCACCGGTCATTAAGGTGCCTTTCCTCCTCGCTGTATGTTGCATGCAGTTTATTCAAACTGGACATTGTTAGGGGAGGTTAGTGCGCTGAACTCTGAATCAAACTGGCTCTGGAGGCTCAGTAAATACAAAGGTAAATGGTGCATGCACACCCCAAATCCTGCACGCGCGCCACTGAATGCAGAAGCTGCTAAACAGTGAGCCCTCCTGCAATGAAGTGTTTTCTTGAGATGACAACATAGGCAGCAATACCCCCCGCCCCATGTCTTAATAGGCTTTTCCCCCTCCCTAATCACTTCTGCTCAGTTTACACCAGGTTAGCAGTGCAATTTGCAAAAGCAGATCATGCGCTGCATTAAAGCAACAAAACAACCTAGATCTCAGGAGGCTTAAAGGTAAAATAAAAACCTTTCAATTGAGAAATGTATTTAATTTCTCCAACGTGGCTCACAGCACGTCCTGCCAATGCCATAAAACTACATAACTGGCTTCCAGCCACACTGTGACAATGGCCAGGCTGCTGGTGTGCTAATATCCCTGCCTATCAAACTGACCTGTATTGTCCCTGTTTCCTTGTACTTCCCCGTTTGTCTGTCTGTCTGTCCGTCCATCTGCTGTCTCGGTTTATACTTGGATTGTAAGCTCTCTGGGGCAGGGGCATCTTATTTTGTTCTGTGTTTGTACAGTGCCTACTGCGGTGGGATCGTGGTCCGTGACTAGGCTCTTAGTACAGTAATACAACGAAACCATAACATTTTCCAAACCACAAGTGTTCACGTTTGATGAAACAACCAACACCATATCCAGGCCCCTCTTTCATTTAAGGGCCCCCAGGCATTTACCATTATTACTTAAGTCTCCCAGCACTCCTGTGAGGTAGGCAAATATGAGCCGTGTTTTACAAACAGAAGCAGCGTGACTTGCCCAAGGTCACAGAGCAAGTCAGTTGCAGGACCAGGTAACAGACGCTATGATGCCTCAATTTCAGTCCAGACTAGGTGATGTTCCTTCCCTTCTAGCAAAATGCTCAGAAAGGACTCAGCAATTATTATTATTTGCATTACCGTAGAAAACTAGGAGGCCTCAACTGAGATCGGGAGCACATTGTACGAGGTGCTGCACAGACACCAAGTAAGAGACAGTCCCTACCACGAAGAGCTTACTGTCTAAACAGACAAGACAGACAAAAGGTGATGAAACGGAGTATTAACGTCATTTGCCAAAGGAGGAGCGGAGGCATCGAAAAATAAGGCCCTGATCCTGCAAAGACCCATACACACGTCAAATCTGCGGGACGAGAGGCGTCTCATCAAACCACCCTTTGCAGGTGCCGAATAATTGAATGGAGAGATTTATGGAACACTCAATACCTGATGAAGCTGCAGCCAATACAGATTATTCCCCTGGCTTTTTCCCTTAACAATCTCTCAACATGTTCAGTAACATGCAGCCGGTTTAAAAGGAGCTCCAAGAACATAGATTCTAACCCAACAGGTGGTTATATCTTGGCCCATGTTTTTGGCTCATCTACCTACCTATGGTATTTCTACAGGGCCATATCATCTAAACCCCAGTATACGTCCAGCTAGTGTTGCCCTATTGCTCTGGCCATCTAGCAATAAAAATGAACCACAGTATCAAATAACACCTTGCCCGTCGCACGCGAGGACCTCAGGGCACTTTGCACGCAGTGATGGAGACACCGAGGGAAACGGTGGGGGCGAAAGACCTCTCTGGCTTCAAGATTAGGCTAGATAAGTTTATGGAGGGAATGGTTTAATGAGATAATGTGATTTTAGTCAATTAGGTAATAAAGTGCCATCGCTGGTAAAATGTGGGTCTGGCTAGAGAATCTTGCCTGTATGCTCGGGGTTCTACTGATCGCCATATTTGGGGTCGGGAAGGAATTTTCCTCCAGGGTAGATTGGCAGAGGCCCTGGAGGTTTTTCGCCTTCCTCCACAGCATTGGGCAGGGGTCGCAAGCTGGAGGATTCTCTGCAACTTGAAGTCTTTAAATCACGATCTGGAGACTTCAACAGCTGAGTTAAGGGAAAGTGGGTGGGTCAGCTTTTGTGGCCTGCATCATGCGGGAGGTCAGACTAGATGACCATAATGGTCCCTTCTGACCTTTAAGTCTATGAGTCTCACATCCCCCCTGGGAGAGGTGATGTCAGTGTTCAGAGCTGGGTGAAATCTTTTGACGGCATCCTCATCCCCGCGCCAATGCGTGTTAACAATTTCCCCCCACGAAACAGTCCCTGGATACACAAAACCACCCCTGGCCAAACTCCCCTAGGTTTCAACAGGGCCAGGACTTTGCCCACCACCCAGTCTTTAAAATGCCAGCTCACTCTATTTAAAAGCACATTTCACTAGCTCGTACAAGCAGCTTTAATACATCGATAACAGAGCGAGCCCATCGCGAACGTTCAAGCATTATGCAGAGGGCTCACGGATTAGTGGTGAACCCATTTACAAGGGAAAGATTAGATTTTTTTTTTCTGGAACAGGGGCGGTCGCATAGTTCTTGCTGTCCTGGGGGGGGGGAGAGGGTGCAGTGCAGTGTTTGCTGGGATTTGGGAGCCTCGAGGCGCACTGCTGTGTGGGGAAACAACAAATCCTCCTTATGGATCCTCCTGTTCTCACGAAACACACATTGAACACTTCTCGAGTGCACTTCTCCCCTTGTCTTAACAGAACTTGCCGTAGCAGAGAGGTTCCCACAGGCCATTCTGGGAAATGTAGTTCGCACAGCTTTAGAGAGGTAGGATAGTGTGATGGTGACATTATTGGAGTGGGCCTCAAGAGGAGGGTTCAATTCCCTTGTCTGCCACAGACTCCCCGTGTGACCCTGGGCAAGTCACTTAATCTCTCTGTGCCTCAGGTTTCCACCCCCCATCTGTGAAATGAAGGCAATACTTCCTT